GATTCTAGGCTGGAATACATTTCTATATGAAGTCATGGTGTGGTGCCTCAATCTCAGACTTATTTACACACAGCACGGCCCTGTCTGACAGTGCAGGAGACCTGATTTTCCTATGTTGCAGTTAAAGTGTCTATAAAGCCGAAGTTTTGGTACAATGGTTATGAGTTAGAACCTCTGTTAGAACCTTTTTTTTTTATTGCTGCCTATATACCCACTGGGCAGATTTGCTCTCTCCATTGGTCCAAGCAAACATTATCTCCAGTATAGAGTATGGTGGGAAATCCAACATTTTTGAGTTGTCATAGTCAGGGCCGGATTTACTCTCTCTGCTGCCCCCAAGGGCCAAGTTCCTCAATGCGCCCCCCTACCCGTCATACCCCCCCTATGGAGAATGGCAGACTTGCAGGCTGCATACAATATCACGGAGATCACTTGTACAAAATAAGCGGCTTCCCCGCTGTACATTTAGCTCGGCTTGCCCAGAGCAGGGCTAAATGTAGAAAACAACTACCCGCCCAGGCATCAGGAGATAGGAAGTCTACACCCCTGCTGCCCCTCTACTCCCTGCTGCCCCGAGGCCGGGCCTTGATTGGCCTTGTGGGAAATCCGGCCCTGGTCATAGTAATAGGAGGTAAGTGAAGACCTTTTGGTGTAGACAACTATGCTGGTGACGAATCATATTGTAGTGTTATTCTCTTACTTTTAGACAGAAAGGGAAATCTCTCTTAGGAAAAAAAGAAATCTGGCAGGGGTCTCAGCGTGTCATTAATTTGGGTTGTTGATCTCTGCCTGGAGTTCAGCTTTAATGGCTCACAAAAAAAAATACAAGTCAGTGCAAAGTGGGAAGTAACAAAATGCTACATTGACTCAGAGATCAGACGGTGAGATTCCTATTCTGTGGAAGCCTTTGTGAATTATCACGAACCTTGAGATGACCTCTAATTTCACAGGTTAGCCCTGTTCCTTGACAGGAGGGACTAAGATGTTTCATTTGTCTTTCCCTGGTAAAAAAAAAAAAAAATGATGACTGAGCAAACTCATTCACAGGTCATTAACTCTAAAAATACTTAAAAATATGCAGGCTTTTTTTTTAATAAGGTGCTCAAGGCAGACTGTCCCATAACAATGCATATATCCTTCTCATGGTTTTCCTTTCAGATGATGACTGCACTGATTCCTTCACTCCCAATCAAGTTGCCAGAATGCACTGCTATCTAGACCTAGTATACCAAGACTGGCAGCCCTTCTCCAAACCTCCACCGGTAGCAATTGCTCCACAGATTATTGAGCACACCTTTACCTCAGTCACCCTGGAGTGGTTTCCACCAATTGATGGATACATCTTTGAAAGGTGAACATTGATGAGAAGCTATTGCATGCAATTCTTTTATCCGGTCTTTCCCAAGAGAATTCGCTCTTGCTAACCTACCTTGGTGAAACCCTGGCACGAGTTTGAATTTATTTAATCTGCCCAATCCACGACTGGTCTGTTCAGTTACAGCCCCCTGGTTCTATGAAGCCAGCCTACCTGGAAGCCGTAACCTTATACAGTTCCAAGAGATCCTGTTGGCGAGTGTTAGAATTTGTAGGTTATATCGTAACTACTGTATATGTGTCCATAATATTCCATAATGTCTTGTATAATGTGTTAAGTATATATTAGGGCAACAGTTTTTTTTATGAGGCTTTGAATGAAGATACCCTTTAGGATTTTTTGGTGGTTGCCATCAGCTCTCAGGTTGCGGTTTTGAGGCGACATTCAGTGAGTAATTTGCTCTTTTTACAGGCACTCCTTTGTTTTTAGAAGTAACAGAGTCACTTTAATATAAAATAAAAAAAGTTTTCAGTCTTAAAATGAGCAAATAACAAAAATAAAAGTACTGAATGTGTTATGCTTTATGTAAATTGACCCCCTTTGCTGTGCCTTTGCGTACTATACAATACACCAGTCAGCCATAACGTTATGACCATTGACATGTGATTGATTGTCATTGATTTACTCATTTCAATGGCCCCTGGAAGTGGGGGGGATATAATACAATGACACGTGGAAGTGGGGGGATATATTACAATAGCACCTGGAAGTGGGGGGGGGGG